TTTTCCCCAAACTATAAATCACATTGCAACCATGTGCAGCACAAATAAAGTTATTCTTTTCCAAAACCCTTTCATCACTACCCACCTTATAATATCTCAATTCAGTAACTCAGTGTTAATTAAGGGGCACGCTGCAAAGGTAGACGATGAATCATGCTATACTAAGAAATGAAAATATGAGTAATCTATTTCTTAAAGACTGTTATGTGCTTAGTGTATTCCCTTTCCCTTCGTCTCAAATATAAAAATAACATTAACTACAAAAAATTGAAATAAGCATGCAGAACAAATCAGAAGCACCAAAAAAGGAAAAAATAATCATGTCAAATGCAAAAACTAGTTTAGAGGAGCACTACCCCAGCCTTCTCACTGATGCACCTCTTCACCTTCTTAAATATTTAAAGCTCATTTCAGGGACAATTGTGTCTCTGTCCATCTGGCTGCAGTCCTGCCCTAACACGCCCCAATCTGCAGCAGATCAACCGGAAAAAAAAATCATTTGGACCTAAGCAGCATTTTCCACTCGGTTAGCAGCAATCAATGAGTTTATGTACAAACTAAAGGTCACGGGGGGTCGGAGAGGAAGGCCGGGCCAGCCTTTGACTCTGTATGAGGAACTGTTGATTTATTGGATATTGCAAGCAAGCTGGTCCACCTTCAAGTGCCTTTTGAAGATAAATCAGCTGGACATCAAGACAAAATTTCTCACGTTGATGAATTATTCCTTTACATTCTCTGACGGCCTTCAAAACCTTCCATCGTCCTTTGTTCCTGGTGGCTTGTCATTCAAAGGATGAGACATGTGATCAGCTCTTATGACCTTTCATAAATTAGATTTTTCTGTAATGAATTTGCAACATCTCTATTTAAACTTTGGTCTATACACACCATAATGATCCACGACAAGCAAATACGCAGATTTTAGTTTCAGGTTTTAAATGTTAAAGTGAAAAAAGAAAAGCTTTTTTTTTTTTTTTACTTTACTTACAGCTATGAAACTAATGGTACAGCTACTGAATGCATCATTGGTATTTCAACTGGTTCCCTCTAGGGTTTACTTTCAATTTGCAGTTCTGTCTGCCACTGGGTACAAATTCTCAAGGGGAAAAGGATAACACTTTTTCCCCAGTAGGTACTAGTATTGTTCCCTAGCTGAAATGGTAGACGGGGGAGTAACTATGGAAACTCTACATGCTGGCAAAAGAAGAAAAAAGTCCAGCATAAAAGGAAAGGTGACGCGAGGGTGTGACAGAAACCAAAAGCAAACAAAGAGTGGAAAGAAGAAAACAAATAAAGAGCTACTCAACAGTGTATTCAGATGTGTTCCTATTTTATGATTACCATGTTAACACGTACTGAACATACCCAACCAGACAGTGAGTGATTTCAACCTGATGTTCAGATTCTTTTGAGATTTAGTAAGATAAAAATTATCTCAAACATTTCATTTCCAAAATACTCCCAATAGAACCCAGTAAAACACCCTGATTCTTTAACACGTGCTGTGTTCAGGCCAAAGATTTTATCTTTAGAAATTAACTAAATGCAGCTCCGCAGGTTTATCTTAAGCCTTTATTAATTTGTCTGAACACACTCGTAATTCCCAAAGGAAACGCAGCAAAGACCTTTCCAAAGTGAGGACATCGCATTTATCTTGTTTTCTGAAATTAACACAGGGCCATTGAGCAAACAAGGTTCACTTGGTATAGAAGCAATAAGATGTTTTAAACTGTGGCCTTATTTCTTATGATCTCTCTTGGGCTCTGCAGATAGCTGCAGGGTAGAGCGATGAAAGGCTACCGACAGGGAATACAAAGAACAAGGCCATGGAGTGGAGTGGACTTGGAGTACACATCCTGAAACAGAAGGAGATACTGGGTCACTGTAGATAAGATGGATGGCCTGAACAAGGACAAAAATACAAAGGACTGGGATGTGAGAAAAACTTTAAAGAAAAAAAATGGAGGAGGATAAATAAATGGAGTGTAAAACAGAGAAGGGAGGACGGGGAAGGGGAGATAAAGGGAGAGATGATTCATTAATTGGGCCTCGTTTGCAAGCGTGTTTTACAGATTTATTTTACCTCAATCTGGGTCAAGGTTGCATGGGCAGTATTCTAACTCAAAACCATCCTACTTCAAAAGCACGTTCAATTTTTCTTCTCAACTTCTCATTTCTAAAATCTTTTGATCTCTTCTTGCTTTGTTTCTCTCTGACCTGCACATAGTGAATTAAACATAATCTAACTTTGACTGAGTGCTGTTTATCCCACAGATCATTCAGAGCCGTCACTCTGAGTTTAGGATTTCTGCAACTGACCTCTACCTCTCTCTCTGTATAATGTCTACATGGTCTAATTTCCTCAATAGACTGTTTTAATGATGTTTTAACAACAAAAGAAATGAAACAGCTAAAATTTTCAAAGCACAGATGAGTTTTTATCACCAGAGAGACATATTGATAACACTTGTCTGATATGTATCAGTGGATATGGAAGTTTAGATTTATAGTTTTATAGATCTTCTGGGTCTTTACATAAGTCAGGATGGGATTAAAAGCTACCATAAACCCCATTGTCTGTTGGATTACATTATGCTTGCCACTGATGTCCATGGGCATGGTTCTGCTGATCTTTTATGATATATCAATACAGTAGCATAGGGATTCCCAAATAGTGCATATCTGCAACAGTAGGAAGGGGAGGAAACAGATATATTGAAATGATCTTGAAATCTTTTATAAAAAGATTATAAAGAATAACTTGCATTCTTGTACTCAGTTTATTTTAAGGATTCACAACCTCACAGATGGCCGCAATGATCAGTGTCTCTAGCTGATCCCACTGGAGGAGTTGAACAAATACCACTCTAATTCACATTACAGTTAACAAATACTATAGTCACACTAGGGAAAACAGGAGTTGCCAGGACCAGAAACCACTTGCAGTCAGTTTCTGTCTTCAAGTCCCTTCAAGTGGAGTCCCTTACTGGAAAGAGAAGTGTTGCAGTCAGGTTGCCCTCATCATCTGAGAATAACTGCAGTCAGCCCAAGTCAGACTTGTTACAATACAAAAAAACAAGGACATACACCTATCAGCCGAAACCACGATAAATGTCAACTTGCGTCTGTGTGTCAGTGAAACAACACAACTGGCTGATAGGTTTTGCAGTTCAGATGGTGGTTGGATATTTGGGGCCAGAGTTCAGCCCACTACCATCGCTGTGCTTACCGAATTTGCTGTAACCCAAAGAATTTCTGTTCAGGGTTCACTGAGTACCATGGCCCTGTCCCTATATCTCTTGTACAATCATGGAATACAAAGAAACCTAACACCTTTTACAAAGTCTGGCTCTGTAAGGAGTTCTTCCTTTGGCTCATTCTTCTGTTAAGGTAAGAACCAAGGTGTCTGTTAGCAAGTATACAAAAACTAAAAGACAAAGTTTATGAAATCTGGTGGCGAGGAATTGGATAGGGAAAGGAAGAACCCATCAAATTTTCTGGCAAATCTGGATCATTTGAAAAATTTAAAACTTAATTAAAATTGTTCTTCTCAAAAAAGAATCCATTAGTGTTGCAAAGAAACTAACTTCCCAACATCTTTATAATGCTAATCTGTCAATTTCATAGACAAGAAAAGAATTAGCTTAAAAATAGCAGTTTAATAGCCTACACTCTCTGTTGCTCTGTATATTTGTTCCTGTAATTTGTTTCCAGAGTTATTTGAGTATGTGTGTGTGTGTAGGAATATGGGGTTGTGCTTGTGTGGTTCTAAGCTATCATAACTCAGTCATGCAGGTAAAGTCATCATCAACAGCAATCTGCTCAGGCCTCTGGGGATCATCTATGTGTGCAGAGCCACATACATGTGCACAGACATGAACACACACACTCACTCACTCACTCTCCCTGGGGTATTTCTCCCTTCAGGGAAGAGGACAAGGCGGGCAGAGTCCATTCACCCATACAGACAGAGAGAAAATTAATTTGTTACAGCGCGCTTATCGTCATGACAACCTGCCTTTTAATTAACGGGCTGACAAACAGCCTGGATGTCATGTCTCTCTTTGGGGAACAACTGATAGAAAGAAAATAGTGCTCTCCTCATCATGTGTGACTGACAGAAGGACTGTAGCAAAAAATAGTTGCAGACCTCTAATTGTTTTTATACAGAGATACTCATATTTTCATATTAAAGACCCCAAAATGTTATGTGCTTATTGGTTGGAATTTATTTTAATTGCTTTATAGTTCTAATTTTGGCATTGTGCACATTTTTTTTTATATATATAAATTTTCTTGGACTCTGCTTGAGTAGCTTTGCATGACTGAGAGTCCAAAATAATCCCTACTTATTTTAACCCTCTAATTGCTCGGTTCATCCATCATCTGAAATGCAGCATTTTAGCTCCTCACCTTAAACAAAGGTTTGAACAGCAGGTTCAACCCACAGGTGAGACACCCGTGATTTTTATATGACCTTATTAATAAAGTCAAATTAAAGCAATTTCTTAAAGCAAACCAGTAATGACTGTTACTTGGAAATTAGATGAGTGAAAAAAAATCGTTTTTTAGATTCTTAAAATCAGTTTATATCTCTGCAAATGGAAAAATGTTAAAATAGCAGTATGAGGGGTTTTTTTTTTTTTATATGGAGGTGGTTTTGGTGGAGCACAAAGAGGGTTTCAGCCAGAGGAAAGGAAACATCACCAGCACTGCCATGTAACTAGCCTGTAACCCCAACCTCTTTGGGTTTGTCTTTTCCAATGCAGTTTAGTTTCAAGGTTGAAGCCCTGAATGCAAAAAAAATCTAACTGTTTCCGTCTGACAAGTTTGCTCTGTCATGTAAGACTAAAGCATTTGAGCTCAGTGTGTGCGAGTGGAACAGAGAGGGGTAGACCATGGCGCTCCTTAAAGCATCAGGCCATCAAAACAGACCTGCTGCCTGAAAGTGGACTGCTGGGAGACAAAGAGCAAGTGTGTGTGCTGTCTGTTTGTTTTACCTCTTGAGGTTAAGCAGAGCCCAGGGGATGCCGGTGGGCGTTTTGAATGCAGGCAGCAGCTTCTCGCCCAACTCCACTGCCTTTCTGCGAAACACCTGAGAAAGAAAAAGAACAAAAATAAATAAGTCATTACAAGATGGTTCGAGCAGCTGATGTATGCCTCTACATTTCCTTGAATTTTCAGCAGAAAATATAATTCAACATTTGCAAATCTCCATCTCTGCTCAAAATCCAAGGCTTACACCTGTAGCTCAGTGCTTCCCCCATCCTTCCACTCTTTATCCCTTTATTCCAGGCTTTTCCTCTTTCCTGTCTGCTTCCTTTTATCCCTGTAATGTTTTTGCCAGTATCTTTCCTAGCCTGCTTTACTGTTGCTTGGAGCTATACTGATGTTTTCCATGTGTAATGTGAGGAAACTTTAGCCCATTTAGTTGTTTAAAACGTCACTGACTCAACATAGATATCTTAAAAACAGTTTCTCACTACAAAAAACTGATTTATGGCTCTCCAGCTTACGTCTAATTCACCATTTTACCATTATATAGCCAGCAATGTTTCGTTTCCCCTCTATTTAATGTGTTCCTGCTGCTTTCACCAAACTGATTGCCCAAAGAAAGTAAGATTTGCAACTCTATCACAATCTGTGAGGCTACAAGGAGAAAACCGCCTGAAAAAAACAAATCAAATTTTGATGCCTTAAAGATTTTCCGCTCACTAGAGTTAACAAAACTTTAGCTTAAATGTGAAAGCAAAACACATCTTAAAAAAAACAACAACCAAAAAACCAGCAGTGAGTCAGCTTTCCATCCAGAGAAAGCCAGACTCGCGGATCTTTGATCTTCTCTCATCCCTTCGGTATCTTTCAGGGTGAGACATCACAGCCTGTGCTGGTAAACACAAGCCTGTGGTGTGTATTTAAGTGTACTAACATCAATTTACACAGTTACGGACTGCTAGAGTTGAATTTTCAATGCATGTAACCTTCAGATCCATTTGGACCCACCACAGAGGCCCAGTGTGGCTTTAAATAGTGTCATGAATATTCAACCTGAAAACAAGAGCAAATACACCTGGAGCTCAGACCTGCAGGAAACTGGGAAATGATGCCCTATAAAAGTGGATTTGTGCACTTTTAACTCTTTCCATTTCCACAGGAATGAATAATGCTCATTCTTCTTAGATTAATATGGTAATATCTGGTGTTTTTCCTGGATGTCTACTACTCCTTGGTTGTTTGCAGTACTGTGTAACAGCCTAAAAGCGTGACGTAAGACTTGATTTGTTTTTTAACCTTTATAAAACTTGTGCTAATCACGTTCTTGGTTCCACTTTTTTTTCTTTTTTTTTAAGCACAGTTCAGGTGTTTTCTGCTGCAACACAACAGCAAATTTCCTCCTTGAGTGGTGATCTCTTATCAAGTGCATTTAAATTCCCAGTCTAATCTTTTGTGTTAGCAAATCTGACAAGACAGCTTTGTAGCAGTTCTAGCCGAGGGCTTTGGTTGTCTCCGAGGTGTCTGATTTTGTTGGCTGTAAAAGTGAAGTGTACTTCCATATTTGGCTCCTGGTGTGAGTGTACTAAAGCAGTAAAGATGAAATGGGATTTGGCCTAAGACGTAGTGGACAGTTTGACACTGCTACCAGGGTTTCAGTGGCTTGACTCAAACTGGTGCTGCTGCCCACTGACACGAATGAGAATGGCTTCATGTCTGTTAATGCAGCCCACATGGATTTGGACTTTTTTCTTATAACTTGACTCTAGGTGTAGAATTAAGTGACACCTGTCCCATAGATTCAAGTCAATCAGATCCTGCCACACCTCTCATGAAAAGCACCTCTGAATCCTCTTGTTTTTGTGCTGTTAGGAGAGTTTTTATTGAGACCACAAAATGTTAAAAATCAGAAAGCTTCAAAGGGTTATTGCTAAAAAAAAAAAAATATATATATATATATATATCTTTTGAACATTCATGACCAGTGCAAGACAGAAAATGTGAAATCTGGGATAGATCATCAGAATTTTATAGGACTTGACTTGCTTGGTTTCCCCACAGTAACATGGGATTTGAAGGTTAAGACTTTAGACTTGTTTGTGACTCGCACATGTGAGACTTATTCCCACTTCTGGGAGCTGCCTTAGTTCATAAGGGGAGAAAAAAAACAACAACACCAGAGATGTTTCTTGTTGAACTGCATAGCGCTATTTCTTTCAACCAGAGGCTGCTATGTAGCTCGCAGTCTTGCAACAAGGTAGAAAATATATGTAAAGTTTTGCCATTCAAAGCCAGTTCAAGCTTATTTTAATTTAATAGCACATGCAGATTTTCATGTTCACAGTATTAAGATGGAGTTGCTGTCTCCATCTTGATGTTTTTGAAACCAGATGTCACCAGCAGTGTACAGTTAGCCACACATATCTAAAGGAGATGAATTCGCCAGCTTTCCTCCAATATTTTGTGACTGACGCTGTGAAATAATTGGCTGATGATGATCACCCCAAATTGGTATTTAATCACCTCGAATAAAGGACCGACTAACTATCCAACTACTGATAATGAGCTCTGTTGTTATTATTCATGCATTATTCTACTATATGTGGAAATGTGCCTTTTTACACACACACTGAGTCAGAGACAGTGCAGTATCACACTGCGTCATGAGCTGGCAGCTCTGTACTCGAGGGATCAGCCACTCAGCGGGGTCTGAGAGACGGGGGCAGAAGGGAGAAAAAGATTTGCGAAGAAGAAAAGCTCAAGAGGCCACTCGTCAAAACAATGTGGCAACTCTATGACTTTCTCCTCAAAATTCAGAGGCAGGAAAGGTTACTGAGAGTTAAACTAGTACAAGAGGTAACAGAAATGTGGCCAAAATTAACTGCCGGCATTCTGGGAATAAATGTCAGATATCTGCGCGTGAGACGGAGCAACATGTCGATGTGTTTGACACCGTCAAGATGAGCCATGTTTCTCCGATTACATTTTTGTCCGCCTGACATACAGACAGAGACTGATGATAGGCTACACCTGAGTATTTCCAATATGTCAGACTTTATGAGGTCTACCAAATATTGACACATATTTCTTTATATTTCATATATTTTTAATTTGACTAAATTGAAGGAACTGAGTCTTTAGCCAGAGCTAAAAGAAATGTAACATGTTTTGCTAAGTGAAGATTAAATTAATCATTTTTATTTATACATTACCAGAAAAAACACAAAAGTTAATAGATTTTTTAAAATATAAAGTAACAGAGATTCGTAAAAAGACCAATTATTAGCGATGAAAAAAGCCAGGAGATATTTCTTACCAGGCTGAACAAACATGTTTACTCTTTATTACACGTGCACACCTAAATCTGAGTTATTACCTAACAGTGCATGCTAAATTCAGTAGACTTTGAGTCTCGAGTTTCAAATCTTGTTTTTGCCAAGATAATGGGTTGGTTTCAAATCACCAGTGTTGTACATTCCTAAAAATGAAGGAAATGCAGAGTAGTAGCTCGGTAAAAATAGAGAGGATGTATGAGATGAGGAAAACTGGCTTTTTAACACTTCGAGAACCTCTTGAGGCGTATCAACTTGAAAATCTACAGTTACCAACCCAATATCATAACAAAACGTATAATAGATGTAACGTGTAATCTGCAAAACATGAAATGGACACGCATGCAGAGGCTGCATTACCAGCAGGGGGAGATAAAATACTTAAAGCCACAAAGTTGGCAATGAGCAAAAAACATACAGAGTACATTCGTTCCAGGTTACTTAATGGATAGAAACCATTAAGCTAGGCGGCTAATGTGTATTTAAGTGTAAATGTGTTAATATCTGTTTAAACACTTTCCCGAAATTATTTTATGCTGGCTTGAAATTAAATATCTAAAATATCTCCCTCTACTGGAAGAAAAAAATATGGATAACTTAAATTATTTTTCTGCTCCTGTGACTTCCTCTAATGGATCGGAAAATCAGCTAAGAAAGTGGATGGATGGAGTTTGGATGGTGGAGGACTTAAAAATGATTTCAAGAACATGCAACTTGCCGAGAGGGATATTAATAAGAATTTGAGAAACAGCAAAGCAGCCAGATCTGAAAGTCGATGTTTTCTCTTTTAAAAAATGCCCTTAAAGATTACGGATTCTTGTGCAGGATTCATGGCATGAGCAAAAAATAATTTAACAGATGAAAACATTGATATATCCGCTCATACGGGCTCCTTCTGTATCCCAAGGAGACTTTCACAATGCAGTACTTTCAAGCCAAGATGTTTGATGGCACTGTGGACACCGAAATGCGTGTGTGTTTAGCTGGCTGCGCAGTGGGAGCCGAGTCGTGTCGTAACAAGGCATCAGATCGCAGTGATTAATGCCTTTAATAATGCTAGAAGCACACTGAGGGGAAGAATAAAAACACTCCCAGGGATGCGCCCAAGAATGAATTAAACACACTCCGCGTCCAAGGCCATCAAGCAAGCTGCCAACAAGCTTTAATAAGTACTACAGAAAGCGAAAAGCACACGCGAAACCTGTGGCTGATGTCAGTAGTAAAAGCTGACGTTGATAATCACATTTCACACCTCGATGCTTCTGACAGCAAAGGCTTCAGGAAAACACACCAGTGTGTTTGTTTGCATATGTTAACCCTAGAAAATGGATGAAACACATATCAGCATCCAATAACTCATGATGCATCTGCTTTAGAGATGTGAAAATAGACCAATCTGCACACCAAACAGCTCAAGTACCAGGATTTTTCTGTGCCCTTTACGGCGAGACAACCTGGTCATCTGAACAAGCACATAGCTGTGTTAAATACAGAATATTATGCTGTATCACTATATCAAACAGTTAAAAAAAAGAGTATTCATCTTTTCATATTTAATAAACAGTCAGTCATTACGATAGGTTTTCAAAAAGCGGTATTATTTTCACATTTGAAAATGGCTCCTGTCATGGCCACTCGAGGCCTGCTCGAAAAGCGAGTCAATCTCCATTAAACACAATGTTAAAAGGTCCAATTTTTTAATAACTCATCTGTTTAATTTGTATTAAGGTTTAAAGTGTGCATTAATTGAGTTGCTAGTTCAACTCACAGG